TGCGGATCGATTCGCTCGTTTTCGCAATCTCTTCCGCTACCTTTTCATGATCCATGATCTTCACGTTACTATTCATCATTGATATATTTGTCTCGTGGACGTTGAAGATGTTACCACGTTGAAGTTGCAACGATGATTGAGCATCTCACAACACAGCAAAGTCATTAAATCCTTTCCTGTATCGTCCGTTGGTCATTGAGCTGTCCTTATCAATCACTGTGAAACCATATTTATCCTCCCAACATTTGCGACACAATGCACTGAAATCCTCATATGACATGTCGGTGTTCACATGATCGTTGTACACATGTTTCAAGTTGGTACCATCCTGTTTAAAGAGAATCAGAAAATTTGCATTGTCCCGTATAAGATGCTTGGGTATTTTTGCGTACGTTTGACAGAGATAGAAGCAGTCAACGTTCGAATGACGACCCATGGCAAAGTATTCTCTTATCATATCTTGCTTGTCACATACAACATCGTCAAAGATAAAAATAGAATTTTTGGGTGCTTCGGTCGTTGGAATCACGTCGCTGTTATCGGAGAATGTAAAGTATCCAATTTCATCTATCGGTTTCAACAAATTTTCCAAGTAGCAATATTTAGGTTGTTGCAACGATTTTGAGTACACGTACAAGTTCTCGAAACGCAGACCGTGCAGACTTTCCAGCAAGCTGATGAGAACATTCGTCTTGCCGCAATTCGAGGGACCGCATATGATGCCGCGTATGGTGTTCGGAAGCATGTTTCCATGCCTGCGCGCCTCTTGCTCAATCATTGATTGCGTTCTATTGTCGAAATTTGTCACACGTATCGATGTCGGTTGCTTCACGAACCGCATGTTTCCTCCACGAGTCACAAAATTGATTATGTTAACGGATCGTTGCGATTGAACTATATATATAGACGCGTCGATTTTGGAAACGCTCAGTTTAGAAAATGTTGCTCCTTCTGACAGATACTCGTGATATTCGAGAGCTAACCTCCGAACAGAAATACATACCGAAGTGAAATACCTACCGAAGATTGTTTTGTTACGCGATTTTGCAAAGTATATTGACGACTTATGGGGCAGACTCCCTGAACATATAAAAGTTGATCCAGAGGTTCAGCAGTATCGTCGGTGTTTGGAACATTACAATCGTCCGTGGCAGCGAACGCATATCGACGGTCCGGCACCGCTGATCCGGGACTGTAGTGAATGCCATCGACAAAAGTCAAAGTCGACAGCGGTCTATTGAATCGCGCGATAAATGCGCTTCCTATCGAACTATACATTCCTGGATATCAATTTTGCGGTCCTGGAAAAACGATTGCTTGGCAAAACGATTGGCCAGAGGCGATCGAGGCATTAATTCATTAGACACGGCGTGTCGTGAGCACGATATAGCCTATTCGCGTAGCAACAGCCTCGCTGATCGGCACGCGGCGGATAAGATTCTCGCTGTAAAAGCGTGGAAACGCATAACTTCGAAAGATTCAACTCTAGGCGAGAGAGCGGCTGCTGCCGTCGTTTGGGCTGCCATGAAAGTCAAAACGAAAATCGGTATGGGCATGAAAGTCAAAACGAAAATCGACATGAAGAAAAAGAAGTCGTCCAAGAAAGCAATCCGAAAACGAACACTTCCGATAGCAAAACGAGGTGGTATTTTACCAGTTCTACCATTACTGGGAGTTCTCGGTTCACTAGTTGGTGGAGCGGCGGGTGTCGCAAAAGCGGTGAATGATGGCAAAGCCGCGCAACGCCAGCTGGAAGAATTAAAACGTCATCATCGCGCTATAAAAGGTCGCGCTATGAAAGGTCGCGGAATCTATCTTGCTCCGTATAAGCGCGGGAAAGGCGCTGCAGAAAAAATAAAAAAAAAATAAACGTCAGAGACACTAAAATTACCCATGGGTGCAATGACTAACATACAGTTGGAAAGACTAGCGAGGCGTATGCGTATATCTTTCTTTTGAGGTGTTTTCATGCGTGACGCCTTACCGATAGATGGAGTACGTCAAAACGAGAGTGGTATTGTAAATTTAGACAACACAGAGAGACCAGGTACACACTAGGTGGCATATGCGAAAAGAGGAAATCGCGCAGTATATTTTGATAGTTTTGGTAATCTTCGACCGCCCAAGGAATTGATTCGATACCTTGAGAGAGATGTAGTGAAAATTGTGTACAATCGCACGTCTTATCAACATTACAGTCAGAGCATATGCGGACAATTGTGTTTACAGTTTCTCCAAACGGTAGACGATCGATATGGATTTAAATGACAACATTCCACTAACAGCAGTCAGTATTCGCTTGGCAGTTTGCGAACATGTCGCTAACACTTACGTTGACTGGCAATAGTAGCACCCTTACGGTGAGCTACTTTCCCGCTATAGATTTGAGCGACGGTGATTACGAGCTCGGTTTAACGGATTTCGAAACATACAATACGATACCAAATGTAAATTCGTCGAATAATAAATTTTACTATGGTGCTAACGACGAAGAAATTACGATTCCTGAAGGATCGTACGAATTGCGTGCCATATACGAATATTTAAAAAATGTAATTTCACATGCTCAAAAAACAGTACGTTCCAAAAATAATCCATATAAAGATGACGCGAATGAATATCCTATAATAATTCGTGCCAATAATAATACGATGAAGAGTGAAATAAAATGCGCTTAAATTTTAGTAAGCCAAACAACATTGGCTCGCTTTTAGGATTCTCATCAAGTCGTGTATTAGAACCGCACCGATGGTACGAATCGGACGCACTGATTAAGATTGTCAATGTTAATATCATTCGTATAGAATGCAGCGTTGTCAGTGGTGCGTATAGTAACAGTATGCGTGTACATACGATACATGAATTCTCGCCTAAGGTGCCACCAGGATATAAGATATCGGAAACGCCTGCACATGTCATTTACCTTCCAATCATCGCACGGAGCATTACAGATTTAACGGTGCGTGTCGTTGATCAAGAAGGACAATCGCTCGATTTTCGAGGAGAAGAGATTACCATTAGATTGCATGTACGACGGCAACGATAATAAACGCAATCTATGAAATGCTTGTGGTGAATCAAGTGAAACAGGAGAAACAAGCTGGAAATACACCTTTTACGAGACACGCGATTAACAGTACAAAATCCCTCGTTCGAAAGAAACTCAGCGCGTTGAACGTTGAATTTTTGAAATCTCTGGGATTCATCGTACGAAACGATTGAGAAAGATGGTTGATATTTTGAAAATTGAAAGTGAACCGATCTTTGACGAGCGCATCGTCAAGATTGAGACACATACGTACAACCCATACGCTAACACAACGTTTGAATATAGCGACGAGATACGAATACCCATACAGCAGCAGGATTTATACATATTGCCATGCGAGAGTTATCTCTATATCGAGGGGAAGATGACGGAACAAGTTGCAGTCGATGGTGCAACTGTAACATTGGGATATAATTGCGTTGCATTCATGTTTGATGAAATTCGTTATGAACTGGATGGTGTGGAGATTGATCGTAACAGAAACGTGGGAATAACTTCAACACTCAAAAACTATGTATCGATGTCTTCGGACGAAAATGCTGTCATGAAAAATGCCGCGTGGGATGCGACTGACACTATTTCGCCGGACGGATACTTCAACTTTTGCGTACCACTCGGCGTGTTGCTAGGATTCTGTGAAGACTACAAGCGTATAGTGATTAACGCGCGTCACGAATTGATTCTATTACGATCGCGCAGCGACAACAACAGTCTACTAGAATCTTCAGCGCTGGATCCTAAGATTGAGCTATTCAAGATACAATGGCGAATGCCTCACGTAATCTTGAACGATATCAATAAACTTTCCATGCTGAAAACTTTGGAGAACGGACGATACCTGAGTATGAGTTTCCGCTCGTGGGATCTGTATGAATTTCCTCTACTGCAAAGCACGACCAAACATCTGTGGACCATCAAAACTGCTACTAATCTGGAAAAGCCTCGATACATTATCTTTGCGTTGCAGACTGGCCGGAAGAATGTAATGTCGGAAAATATAGCTCGTTTCGATGACTGCAAATTGATCAATGTGAAGCTCTATTTGAATTCAGAGTGTTATCCGTACGACGACATGAATTTAGACTTTGCAAAAAATAAATGCGCCATATTTTACGATATGTATAGACGTTTTCGTAAATCGTATTATGGATGCGACAGTGCTGAGGTACAAGGTCCATTATGAAAGTAATGCGCATTTTCTGGGAAAAATAGATTTATTGATCAGACCTGTACAAATGCTTAAAATTCTTCAAAATACACTCCCCCTGCATCAATACACTTGCGGAGACGTGTCTGCCACGGCTGGAAGGCACCCTGAAAGTCCTCGACTGGAATGTTTCTCAGGAACGTTGTAACATGCTTTTGGATGTTTTCCACGGTCTCCCAATGCTTTCCTTTCAGCTCTCTCTTCAGTCGGGGAAACAAAAAAATGTCGCACGGAGCCAAGTCGGAACTGTAAGGGGGCTGGGGGACCACCGGGATGTTTCTCCGGGCCAGGAAGTTGGTAACGATGAAGGACGTGTGGCTGGGGGCATTGTCATGGTGCAGCTTGACCGTCTTTGATATCAGCCCTCACGCGCGCGACCCGGTGTTTCAATCTCTTGAGCACCTCCAGGTAAAAGGCTGAGTTGACAGTTTGTCCCTGCGGTACAAACTCAAAATGAACGATTCCTCGGGCGTCAAAGAAAACAATGAGCATCGTTTTGATGCGAGACTTGCTCATTCACGCTTTCTTGGGGCGGGGGGATGATGTTGTGTGCCACTCGCTGCTCTGCCTTTTCGTTTCTGGGTCGTACTCGAACATCCAGGATTCGTCTCCGGTTACGACAGAATTAAGAAAGTCCGGCTCATTTTGAATCAAATCCAACAATTCTTGACAGCGCGAAACTCGAAGTTCTTTCTAATCTTCCGTCAACACTTTCGGTACAAGCTTCGCACAGACCTTGCGCATTTACAGATCCTCGGTCACTATCCCATGTACCGCAAATGTGGACATGTGTAGGGTGTCAGCAATTTGCTGGATGCTCAATCGACGGTCGGAACATAAAACTTTGCACATACGATCCACGTTTTCGTCGGTTCTGGCCGTTTTTGGGCGTCCAGAACGGGGTTCGTCGGCGACCTCCTCCTGGCCCTCCTTGAACGCCTTGTGCCACCTCCCGGACTGTGACCTTGAAATGCAGTCGTCCTTGAAGGCCTCTTGAAGCATCTGGAATGTTTCGGTTGCATTCTTTCGAAGCTTCACGCAAAACTTGATGGCGTATCGCTGTTCAAGCGAACTCTCCATCGCGCCGTATTACAAAGTCGAAAAAAACACTTCACGCGGAGGCACGTCTTTTCGCTCATACTGCTCGGAGCAAACAGGCGACCGGCTGCGTTGGAAGGACAGATCCCCCACCACATTTCCCGACCGGTTTTACCGCGCTGCCATGGATAGTGCGTCATAATAAAATCATGCGCATTACTTTCATAATGGACCTTGTATGGTTAGCAATTATAGACTTTCGACGGCTAGGCCCTTTCGTGGTTATCGATTGTTCGCGTCAAAATGAATCCGTCAAGAGTGCCACTGTGGATGTGCGGATAGAATTTGAGTGTAAGGAGAATATACCGGTGAATACTACCGCATATTGTCTCATCCTGCACGATCGTGTAGTTGAATACAGCCCGCTAACCAACATAGTGCGCAAACTCAACTAACATCAGAAAGTATGTACGAGAAAAGAATAATACATAAGAAAGTATGCACTAGAAAAGAATCTTGACCAAAAATAGTCATATCTTTACAGGATACAGCATTTAGTTATTCACAGGATGTGCCCTATGATATAGTGTGCATATCTCTCTTTATCTAACATCCCAGTAAGCTTGCTGAAGAAAACGATGGATGGGGATGTAGCATTGGCGGGGGAAACTCGGAGGGAAACTTGCTTGCGTTAAAGAAACTGCTGCTTAGTGTTGCATCAGTCGCTCTGTAAAGACAAGGTTCGACAGTCGCTCTGTAAAAAGACAAGGTTCGGCAGCAGCTTCCACATAGCAAATCAAAATGTCTGATGTCAAAGTGAGTGCTACGCAAACAAATTGTTACATGCCTGAGTACGATGAGTGTTTCGAGGAGCCATACAAAATGCCTGATGTCGAAATCAACGCTGCACAAATAAATTATTATATGTCCGAGTATGACGAGTGTTTCGAGGGACCATACAAAATGAAACGTAGAAAGTGAGTATCAGTGTGAATTTGGTACTTTGTGTGCACTTTTCCGACCGAATTTTTAAATGTATAACATTTACATTGCATTTACAGTGTTACGTCCTAGAGGAGGAACGCAACCCTTTCGTTCGCGAGTAAGGCGAACCTCGTTCGTACACGCGTGTCAGTGAACGGGTCAGGGACCCGACGGGTCCCTTTACTCGGGCACCGACGTACGACGAGTGGTCCGTTTTTCGGTCAGGGACGCGAATCCCTTTACCGGGGATAGGACCATGAGTTGACTGTTGGAAGGGTATATGTGATTTTGAAATCAATTGGAAAAAGAATGATATATAAACAAATAAAAGAATATAAACAGATTTATTAAAATAACAAAATGAATTACGGCGCGGTTCAATACAGTTGAGGAATGACTGTGTATGTGTATGTGTGTATGTATGAGAAGTGAAAGAAGGAGGAAATAATAAAAAAAAGGTAGGAATATGAGTAAAGAATTAGTCGGGTGAAGGGGAGCGTGAGTGGTCGGGTGAATTTAAGGGAGTGGATAGTTCGGAGAAGGAAACTGGTGAATAAGATATCGAAGGGGTTGTAGGCGGGGACGCGTGTGTAGGAGAAGAAGGCGGAGTATCAGGGGAAAAACGAGGAAGGAGGTAAGGGGATAGGAGTGTAGGATCCGGGTGATAATCAATTCCTAACGCTATATTAACTATGGCTCGGAGGTAGTGGATCTGGGACGTAAGTTCATCTGGATCGCTAATATCAAAAGCTTCCTCGAACGTTCGGAAAACGTGGTGGAGGGTTATCCCTATGTTGTTATAATGACCCATGCTGACTCCTGTTATCCTGAAGGTGAGCAAAAATAAAGTTGATGTTTGGTAGCTCCTGCTCGATAGGTCACGTTGTGCTCGTCCACTCCCTTCCAATTGTCCAATTATGGCACAATAGCAGTGATTCAAACTTTTTATTTTTTTTTTTTTTTAGTCCCAAAAATAAATAAATAAAACAGAGGACGTAAAAGAATATGTAGTACCGAAACAAAACCGAAGACGAATTTGAGTCTAAGGACGTGTTTTTACAAGTCTGATTTTTGAAACTAGAATCTATGTGAATCTGTTCTTTCTGTCTCTCAGAATAGAAGTAACGGTAGAAGTTGAAGTAGAAGTGCCCGCGGAGGCGGATTACCGCGGTTTTTATAGTAATAATCGGAGGCAGAAGCTATCAGGGTGGGTAGAGAGATGGCCTTTGAGGAAGGGGTGGATTGGTCTTAGTGGGAAAAAGTCTCAGCCATTAGCAAAGTTAAAAGACATCGTGGGAGGAGACAGTTAGTTTTTGGAGATATGAATATGGAAGGGCTAAAGGGTGGAGCGTGAGTGTCTCATAGTTTTAGGTGGATATATGATTGGCTGAATGAGTTAGGCGCGACAAGCGTAGAGGTGGTGGGTTCTTGAGATAGAGAAATGTATACAAGTGGACGGCTGGAAAAATCAAAATGCCGTAAATCAAAGGCTGGGATCAGATTTTACGACTATCAGTGAAGTAGGCTTTGTTGGTTGACTGATTGGGCACATATGGTTTTGGATTGGGAAGATGTGAGTTTCAAGTTTTAGAGCAGGGATGCTCTGAGTTGCTTTGTTTCACTGAAGGTTTATTAGCGCGGAGTTTCAAGTTTTTATAACTGGGACGACGGACATACTTGGCGAACACTACCCAGGTATAGGTTTTTACAACAGGGCATTGTTTCCTGTTATGGAATTTTCCCGAATCGCTTTTCATTTGGCGCGACGGCTGTTCGCCAGATGGGTCTGTTTCCTAATTTATATTTATATATGTATATATTCCTATTATAGTTATATTAGGAGAATATAAATCTGCGAGAGGAAAGAATTTTTACTAATTAAATCTACAGGACGTAACAACAGCATTCCTGAATCATATTGTGCTACTCGCATTCCTGAGCCACGTCATGTTACTCGCATCCAGGGACGCAGCGATATTTCTCTCCCGAACATGCCAAAGAATGGTTGTCCCATCAAGATTGTACCAACGTTTATTGACCTGCAGGGGTTCATAGTTCGGAAACGATTTATCGTAAAAGAAGCGATACTGAGGAGCGGGACTGTTTTTTCGCACTACATTTTCACGAGTCCGATGCCATGGGAGTTTCTCTCAAGATCAGAAAAATCGAGAGCCTGCTGGGTAACGGATAATCATCACAGGTTACGGTGGGGAGATGGAACCGTCAAATACTGTGAATCTAAACAGTTGATTACTGCAGCTGTGGATGATATATGTGGCAGGCTTCTCAATTCAAAAGACGATGCATCTCAACTTGTATACGTGAAGGGGCATGAGAAGCGGGAATGGTTATTACACCTTCTAGAGGACCATGCGAGAAGCAGCGTGGTCATTAAGACCATGGACGCTGACTATGATGACATGCCTTCTCTCCAAAAGTTGCCGAATGCTTTCCAATGTAATAATCATAAGAAAAATTGTACCTTACAAAATGTATTAAAAATGTTCAATTGGTCGTCTTTAAGAAACAATGTATAACGCTATAAAAACATTATTTCAAACGTGTAAATGTTTCAATTGGTGATCTTTAAAAATAAATTACTTTGTTATATATATATTATGATACATCTTTTTTATTTTAGATCGCATTCTTTCTTCCAACTTCCCCTTATCCCCTTTCTTAGAATTTTATATGTTAATTATGTTAATTATGTTAATTATATTGATGAAAATACTTCTTTATTTGCTTATTATGGTTATTAGACGTTCGATAGACGTTCGTGAGACGTTCGATAGATGTCTGATAGACGTTCGTGAGACGTTCGTGAGACGTTCGAGAGACGTTGGAGAAATGTTCGAGAGACGTTCGATATGGCGCAGTAAACAAAGGGCCAGAGTCTGACCTAGTTTCGACTTATTTTTTCTTTCGTGACGTCATCATGCCCACTCTAAGAACCTTTGCTAGACGTCTAATAGCAACAGGCGACGGTGGTCTAGGAGCTTTGGAGCATTGGGTAGTAACCGCGAGGGCCCGGGTTCGAGTCTTAGCAGCATCTCGACGGTTTTTCTCTCGTGACGTCATCGTGCGCACTCTAAGAGCCTTCGCTATAGACGTCTCTTAATAGCAACAGGCGACGGTGGTCTAGGAGCTTTTGGAGCATTGGGGATAGTAACCGCGAGGACCCGGGTTTCTCGAGTCTAGCAGTTAGGGCCCGAGAGTTTTTTCTCTCGTGACGTCATCGTGCACACTCTAAGAGCATTTACTAGTAGACGTCTAATAGCAACAGGCGACGATGGTCTAGGAGCTTGGAGCATTGGATAGTAACCGCGAGGGCCGGGGGTTCGAGTCTAGCAGCAGCCTCGACAGTTTTTCTCTCGTGACGTCACGGTCACATCTAGTCCATGGAAGCAAAAATTCTAGGGAGGGGTTATATTAATAAAGGGGGTTATTAATAAAGGGGGTATTAGCGAGAATTATTTAATTATAAAAAAACGGTTTTGCGAAAAATTTTTAGAAATTGGGTTAGAACCGGCCTAGATATTCTACTTATAACTTTATGTTTCTTTACTAGATGTGTATTTTACTAGATGTGTATTGTAAAAGAGTAAGATATTTATGTAATATCATTTACTACTCAAATTTGGAACACATTCAACTTCATATTCTTTACCTTCTATTTATTTTCATACTAATAATATAATACTAATAGTAAAAAACAATTTTTATTAAAAAAATTTAATCATGCTTTGACCATTATTTGATTACAAAATCATGTATTAACTATGTCATATTTTGGTATCATAATGCTATCAAATGAGATGTTTTTCTGACATCATGACATGACTGATATCTGAGCAGCATATGCGCACGCATCTGTATGTATTTTTAAAATCATATTACGTCAGTATATGAATGCAATCTGAGCACAAAATAACATCATTTTTCTATCTGGGTATAAAAGACACTCTTTGTAAATATATGACTAAATTAAATGTTTCTCAAATTTCAGACGTTTCCAATAATTTATACGATAATGGAAAGTTGCACGACTGAAAACT